ACAAAACGAATCCTACTAAGCAGAACCACGACCGCTTACAGACGCTCAATACAGAACTAAAAGACCTACAGCTAAAAACGACTGAAAAATACATGCGCTACATGAAACAAACCCACTACACACTAGGGAACAAAGCAGGCAAACTCTCAGAAATTACCTTCAGGCTAAAATCCCCTACATAACCTCCAAACAGGGAGAGAAACTCTATAACCCCCAGGACATAGTCAACGTACTATGCATCGCTATACCAACTGCACAAAGACCCAGGAACACTCCAACCCTCAGCTACAGACATAGAGGCCTTCTTGGGGAAGATGTCTCTCCCCTGCATATCTCAAGCTCAGGGCACGTATCTAGACACCCCTTTTACAGAGAATGAACTCAGGGACGCTATTAACGCCCTCCCCAAACACAAATCCCCTGGCCCAGACGGGCTCTCTAACTACTACTACATAAAATTTGCAAAACAACTAGCTCCCCACCTGCTTCGACTGTTCAATACTATTAAACAATCTGGAACCAGAGATGCTGGAGGCATTCATTGTCACACTTCCCAAGCCTAACAAACCCCCCACTAACTGCGCCAACCTACGACCAATTTCCTTACTTAATTCGGACGTCAAACTATATGCCAAAATGTTAGCGACAAGGGTCAAAACACTCTCTTTCCCACTCTCATCTCCCCCGAACAAGCGGGATTTGTACCTGGGAAACAGGTGGGGGACAACACCCGCCACTTCCTAAACCTTATCGACTGGGCCAATCACTCCTCACTGCAGGGCCTAGAGCTGGCGCTGGACGCCGAAAAGGCGTTCGACTGCCTGCACTGGGGATACATGGAACGCACGCTGAGCAAAATGGGAATTCCTCCCGCTTTCTTAGCAAGTGTAATGGCCCTCTACCAATACCCATCAGCGAAAGTCTTTAGCACGGGTTTTCTATCGGCATCTTTCTACATAGCCAATGGTACACACCAGGGTTGTCCACTGTCCCAGCTCATCTTCATCCTCTGTCTTGAACCCCTGACACGCCTCATAAAAGGCAACAGACACATACATGGCTTGTTGACTCCAGGCGGCACAAACAAGATAGCACTGTTTGCCAATGACATTCTCATGTTTATTACCAACCCAACAACCTCTATCCCCACACTCCTAGGGCTCCTGCAAGGTTATGGAGAGGAATCATATTACAAAAACAACACCTCCAAAACTCAAGCACTACCGATAAACTTGCCACACCACATAATGGCCAAACTAAGCTCTGAGTATGCATTCGACTGGCGCAAATCATCCCTTACATACCTGGGGATCAAACTGACGAAAACACACCAAGCCATGCTAACAGAGAACCACTACCCCGTAGCCAATAAACTCAAAACTACCCTAGAGAAGTGGGAAAATCTAGAGATCTCCTGGTTAGGCCGTATGAACACAATTAAAATGATGACACTGCCCCACATTCTCTACCTCTTCCGCACACTGCCCATAGCAATACCAAACAAACTGCTCAAACTACTACAAGCCACCATAAATGCGCACGTTTGGAAGCGGAAGCCTCCGAGGGTAGCCCAACGCAACCTAGGGCTTCCTTACACCAAATGGGGCCTAGGATTGCCGGACTTCAAGACGTATTACAGAGCCTCTATCTTAGCGCAGGGGGTGCACCTATTGAGACTTACGAAATCTTCCCAACAGCCCTTATGGTTGTCGTTATAAAATGCATGCCTCCATCCGCAAAACATAATACACGCCCTGTGGACCAGCACACCCCCGAAACAGCTAGGGGTGCAGCCACTGCAGTGCACTCGATTCCTGCTGCGCTCCTGGCAGCTCTGGAATAGCTTAATTATGAACCCTCACTCTCTTCTCAGAGAAGCACCCCTGGTGACCTTGGCCATATTCTCCCCAGACCTGCCCATGACTGGATGGGCTACTAAGGGCATACATAAAGTGCTAGACCTCCTGGAGGGCAACACAATCAAACCATTCCCTGACCTTCAGAGGCAATAACTCCTACCCCAAAGAAACATGTTCCTCAACCTTAGAGTAAAAAACATACTATTACCGTACTTGAAAGAAATGCAAACACCACTCGAAGACCCTCCCCTACTACTCACCCAGGTTTTGTCACCTAAATTGGGGAAGCCACTGTCCATGTGTTATAATGCCCTTCTCCACGGCCAGTCTGGAGAGAAGACATCTTACATGCTGCATTGGGAAGAGGAGTTAGGGCACCAAATCCCCTTGTCTCGATGGAGTGAGGCAATGACGAATACAAAATGAGCCTCAAAGAGCCTCTCTTTGTGGGAGGCATACTGCAAGATTTCTATGCGGTGGTACCTAGTCCCACATAGACTGTCACGCATTTACAAGGATGCATCTAAGCTGTGTTGGCGCTGTGGGGGAGGAGAGGGAACCATGTTACACATGTTTTGGGAGTGCCCGTTGCTAGGGGCATTCTGGAAACAAATACAAGGCCTTATATCTAGCACAACAGTGTAACAGTGTTTCGCCACAAACAGGCCACCTAAGAGGTGGTTAGCAGCAGATTGGACGTAATCGGCTCCTATGAACTAATGGCTAGCAGGATGCAGGGCCAGGAGGATAGGCACGAGAGGGAGTGGGGCTGTTGGAAACCCAAACCGTAGAAGTAAATAATATTATGTCAAACAGAAGGGTTACACTCCACTGTGACCGTAAACGCATATACAAATGTAAATGAAATCCTTAAGGTAAATGCAATTATAGATAACCACAGTTACGCAACTGCTAAATGAATGCAAACTAAGAGTAAACAGAACAGGAGCTGGCAGGGTTCGGGATTTATATAACCCCAGTCCCAAGTTAGACCCCTTCCCTTCCCATCCAAGTTTCCCCTAAGGTTTCCATTGAACAGAAATATAAAAAAAAATTAAGATGCCTTGAAAATCCACATTGACGATACACACCAACCATACCTCATGTGCACTGGACCATGTTAAAATGTAGCGCAATACTTCAGTGTAATGATTTATGTATCTAACACTGTCAAATGGACGAAATGTATGTACCTACTCTGTTCGACTTAATAAAAAACTATATATGATAAAAAAAAAATGCTACAGTTATGTATTTTTATACTGTCTTACCTGTTACAATAACACGTGGGACTTTGGGCGCTTGGAGATAATTAAATTGCCATAACCGTTAGAGTCATTATCTCCAAGCTGGGTGGTGACCATTTCAAACAATACACTATAATGCCATTGGTCAACTGTTTGTATTGTCCCTGTATCCCATCAGGTCCAGACGGGGCTGCCCCTGGACCTGGGGTTTTGCATAAATAGCGATGTCTGTGTGCCTTTAAAGCCAGTTCGTTTTGGCCCTCAAATCGCAGCCTCGACTCGTTCGGTGGGAACAAGGGTATCCTAGCTGTACCATAGCTAGTGGGATTGCTTTATATTTGCAGGATTCTTATGTTATGCTGAACAGAACGGCGCTTTACTCTCTCCACACTCGGGAACCAGGACATCCAAGCGGTCTAGCCTTCAGCTAGCTTGGAGGTAACCCTAACAGAAGCGTCAAATAGTGCAGTTACAGCGCCATTGTAAACATTCTTATTTTCTGGGTGCTAATCTTCTAAATAGTACATTAGTGGGGTGCACTTCATATTTGAGAGTCAAATAGAAGCGTCAAATAGTGCGCTTACAGCGCAGTTGTAAACATTCTAATTGTTTTGCTACTAAACTGCTAAATAGTACATTTTGGGCGTGCTCTTCATATCTGAGAGTCAAATAGAAGGGTCAAATACTGCACTTACAGCGCAGTTTGAAACATTCTTATTTTATGGGTGCTAATCTGCTAAATAGTAAATTTTAGGCGTGCTCTACATATCTGAGAGTCAAATAGAAGTGTCAAATAGTGCGGTTACAGCATAGTTGCAAAAATTCTAATTGTTTTGCTGCTAAACTGCTAAATAGTAAATTTGGGGGGCATGCTCTTCATATCTGAGAGTCAAATAGAACCGTCAAATAGTGCTGTGACATAGCATTTTTAAACATTCACATTTTTTGGCTGGTAAACAGTACATTTGCGGCCTGCTGTGCACTTCATATCTGAGAGTCAAATAGAACCATCAAATACCAATATAACAATATTGTAATTTGGGGGCAATACCCTCACAAGTCAAACTGAGAGTTTAGTTTACAGGGGAAACTGTTGCCTGTATACAATTCTAAAACAAATTCCATATGTCCTTTGCAGACTTTACATGCTGGAAAAACACAGGTGCCATCTGCTGTGGCTTTCTGCAGTGTGCAAACCGGCAAGCAGGACAGAGTTGAAGAGTGGGTGGAAGATGATGTGGACGATGATGAGGTCCTAGACCCCACATGGAATCAAGGTCATGCGAGTGACGTGTGCAGTTTGGAGGAAGAGGCGCTGGTCTCACAGAGGCACCAACACAGCATAAAAGGGAGCAGGATGCAAAAGCAGAGCGGCCGTCCCCTAGCGCTCGTCAGCATGTATTATCTTTAGAATTCCCACAGTTATCCAAGTAACAGTTGAAGCGATAAAAAGAACCATAACAGATTTAATGAGCCATTCTAAAGTGTCGCAGTCCGGTGACTGGGACCCAGACACTGTCTGGGCGGTTGTAGGACGACCGGGACCCAGTATGCCTGATGCTGAAGTTAGGAGTCCCAGTGTGGAAAGGATTAGCAGGGTCTGGTGCAGGGTTACCGCACACCCCCTGGTGTTGAGCACCAGTGTTTGTGCGGCCACATACCAGGACCCTGATGCAGCTTCAGTAAAAAGAGTACTGGATACCAGAAGCCATCACCAGAATGATCCGCAGCTTGGAACAGGATGTGACATTCACTGTAGCGGCTGTGCGCGCTTTCGGCGTTCTCATCCAGCGTAACTTTGGCCTTCCCACTCACCGCCTCATATGTGACGTGCCCACAAGGTGGAACTCCACCTTGCACATGCTGGAGAGACTGTGCGAGCAGCAGCAGGCGATAGTGGAGTTTCAACTGCAGCACGCACGGGTCAGTTGCTCTGCACCAGACTTGCCCTCCAATTGATCAGAGTTAAAGGATTTCAAGTGGACTCATTACAATTACAGGGCCTCTAAAGAGTCCTGTATTGTTATTTGTCATCACTACCTTCCCACATTGTTAGTGGTTAATTTGCGTGCCTGCTGCCTTCCTTGCATGTGGTAGCCGTTTCTCAGGCTCCCTCTCAGGAATCGAACCCTTATTCCCAGTTACCCGTGGTCACCAGTAAATGGCATTGAAAGTTGATATGGATGACACATCGCCTTGTTGTTGGGGAGCCCATTAAAAACGTGCTCTAGCATGATGAGCTGGGTGATCTTGCCTTGGTGGGAGTGTCAACTGCAGCTCGCACGGGTCAGTCGCTCTGCGGAACAGAGTTGTCTTTTTTTATATGTCCCAATTTTTGGGGGGCTTCCCCAATTTAAAAAAAATATATAAATATAAAAACCAGTGTTGGTTACCTCCTCCTCCTCCACCACCATTTCCACCTACGCCGCCATGGTCGCCACCTCCTTAACCTATGGGTCACTTAGTATAAACTATGTACACAATAGCAGAGGCTTGTGAAGGCCTTTTCTCCATGCATCAGGAGTTGAGCTCAGTTTGAACAATGAAAGAGAATACCCTGCACTCCAACCCTCTCTCAAATGGATAATTCTGGTGATCCTCCTGACAGCCATGCTTTAGATTTTGATTTATGTTCTTCCAAAGCTAAAATCAAAGATTCCATCTAGTGCTATTTTATGGCTCAACTGTATTTTTAATTTTTAGGTATTTAATGTTATTTTAAGTGATTTCCCTATCCACATTTGTTTGCAGGGCACTTGTCCTACTTTTACCCCCATTTTATTTCCTTTTGCAGCCCTGTCCAGGACTTTTTTAGAGGCATTTTTGTGCCCAAAAGTTCGGGTGCCCATTGACTTCAAGTTCGATCCCGAACCCGGACTTTTTTTCAAAGTTCGGCCGAACCCGCCGGACCCGAACATCCAAGTTTCCGCTCAACTCTAATCACAACCCGTTGGTCTGGCTAAACAAGCAATGGGGAGATAGCGCAGCTAAGCGGACAAGGGCACATGTAGGAGTGTGGGGATAGATGCATGGGATTGGTTGGGAAAGAGTGTGTGGGTGGGATTATGTTCTGTGTAAATTAGTGTGGGGGAGGTCTTACCTCAGTGCCACTTGGGATTAGGGCCAGCAAACAGCTTCCCTCCCGCCCTATTAATATATTTAGTCACAGCTAGCCGGGGTGTGTCCTTGCCGATTGAGTTTGAGGGGTTATGGTTAAGTATATGGAATGAGATGAACAAGTTTTTAAGGTCTCAACCTCCCCTGCTTCAAACGGTTAACATTTGTCGTTATTGGGGGGTTGAATGGGGTTAGTTTTGTTCTAGGCTGCATCGCGATTCCCCACTACATACATACATGGGTGGCTAAGGACAATGCCCGGCTGCTGCGCTGGAGTTTGGCGCTGCAGCCATTTGACTTCAACATCCAGTACCGCCCAGGAAAACAAATGGAAATGCTGACGGGTTGTCTAGACAAACTGACTTGGAAAAATGATCCATAACCAAACCCAGACATCCCCAAGCCAATCTGTGATGGATCAGACTGTGTATGCCGGCTTGTGGGCAAGGGGGAGCAGTGTAGCGGATTACATTTGGCTGTCCATAACTGTCCTGATTGCAACATTATTCCCTATGGTCTTTGTTACTTGTATGTAATGTATTTCTTAAGCATTCGTCTGGTTGTTTGGTAGAAACGGACTAGATACAAAGTTGAATACCTCCGTTCGACATACGAACAAACTAACAAACAACCAGACCACCCCGGAGAGAAGTGTGGCTCTAATTTACCTCCCCATTATTCTTCACACCAGCCTAATTGCAAAGTATGCGTATGTACTGTGGATTCCCTGGGTGGGCAACGTTCGACATACGAACACGTGGCGGCGGCCATCTTGCCATATGAACTCCCAGCGGTGTTTGGTCGTCGAGTGTCTGGAACCCAAATCGGACACTCGACCACGCAAACACTGCAGAGACCTCCAAGCCTCCACCTGTTCGTGGTGAAACACACAAACGGCCTGGCGTTCGGTAGAAATATGCCCACGAACAAGAGGATTCATACGAATCCAGGCAAAGTCTATTCTGCCCAGTATTTTCGTGCCTTTTACCTCGCGGACAGAGACCAACCTCAAGGCCAGAATATATGGAACTGCTTTCGGCTATTGCCTCATATGCGGTTAGTCAAACGAACACTTCCAGGAAATTCCTGAACCCCTGATCCGATCTGGGTGATTTATGAGTATGTTGCTCACCCAGATCAGAGCTATCAGGGGATGCATCATTTAGGGGTGTATGTCATGTCTTTGGGGTACATCTTGAAAACGGGGAAAATTGTGTGTTAAAACTGTTCTGTTAATTGTATTTTCTCTCAGGCTGAGGGGAGGAGATGTGTGGGCTGTAACCTACATGTGATTGGCTAATGCACATTTTTCTGTGGATGTCTCCCTTGCATGGGAGAGATGCATAAAAGCAGAGAATGTGGCATTAAACATCAGTTCTGCTCTTGATACTGTGTCGTCCAGTTATTGGGAAAGGTGATGTGATATTCGTGGATTGTTTTTATTTACTGCTTATGCTGTGCTTCCTGGGTTAACTACTTGGTCCTGAGTAATTCTTTGATTACCAGCGGAGAAAGTCTGTGGATCTAGCGCTCTGTTACAGTCTCCACTCCCAATAATACACTCTGCAGCTGGGGAGAGAGACCGACCGTCTCCTCTCCCAATAATACACTCTGCCGCTGAGGGGGAAGGATGACACACTTCTCTCCCTGGAATTCACACTGCCGCTGGGGAGTGAGCCCGATTGTCTCCACTCCCTGTAAGATACACTGCCGCTGGGGAACAAGACCGGGTGTCTCTGTTCCCTGGACCTCATACTGACGCTGGGGAGGAAGTATGACACACTCTTCTACCTGTACTGCACACTGCCGCTGGGGAGTGAGACCGGTTGTCCCAACTCCCAATAATTCACTCTGCCGCTGAGGGGGAAGGACGACACACTTCTCTCCCTGGGATTCGCACTGCCACAGGGGAATAAGACCGGGAGTCTCTGTTCCCTGGACCTCTGTTATGCTACTTGGGTTATTTGGATTGGAACTCAACTGCAGCTTGTAGAACTCCTTAATTACAATAGTGAAGAAACGAAGAATCTTTAAAGTATCAATACTGTAGTTTTAAGAAAAGAGAGGATTGCTGGATATTTGTGAAGAACGATGGGAAGGTAAATTAGAGCCACACTTCTCTCCTGGGTGGTCTGGTTGTTTGGTAGTTTGTTCGTATGTCGAACGGAGGTATTCAACTTTGTATCTAGTACTCTTTTCTTAAAGCTAGTTTTAATGATTGATAAACTTAAATGAATTGCATATAGGCAATAATCCAATAAGAAGAAAGTGCAGGTTATAAAACAATACAAAGTTCATTAATAAGTATTTCCTCAGAGAAGTATTAAATAAGATTCTTTAGGTTGCTGGGAATAATCTTCATTAGAAACATTAAGCATGTAGCAGAGCGTATTTGCAAAGCAAAAAACAGTTCATAGTAAATAAGCATGATGGGAGTTATCCTCCATATAATTAGTAACATGAAGCAGAGAAGATTTGAGCAAGCAGGAATTGGTTCATTAATAAATGATATTGCAGACAATAGTTGAAAGATATACTTAAGGTTAAGGTGAATTGTCCTCCAAGAGTTCAGAGTTATAGTCCACTTGTAAATTAGCAAAGTATCCGTTCTCCAGTAATCCTCTATGGCATGCAGCATAATCCTTGCATTGGCTTAAAGGCTAGGACGGCTTGTCAGAGCTTGTGGAGCCGGCGTGTATACCCGGAAGTAGGTCCCACAATCACCAAGCCTTCTCCCTGGTGCGGTCTCCCTAAGTACTGTCAGAGCCGCGTCAGAAGGGGCGGGGCCAGCTCCGCATAGCGGAAGTGCCGAACCCGGAAGAGATACAGCATGACAGGACCCCCCACCTAAGGAGCACACTCCGAGTGCTGTTACCTCGGTTTCTGAGGATACCTTTTGTGAAAAGCAGTAATTAACTTCTTTGCATGAATTTCAGAGGAATTCTCCCAGGTGTTATCTTCATCTCCATAACCCTTCCATTTAATAAGGTATTGTAAGTTACCTCTATGAAGTCTGGAGTCAAGAATTCTCTCTATTTCATACTCCAATTCACCTTGAACTTCAATGGGGTCAGGTTTTGACAATTGTTCCCTATGGAAGGGATCTGGGAGAAAAGACTTGAGAAGGGCAACATGAAAAACAAGATGAAGTTTAAGTGAAAGAGGAAGTTTCAATTTTACAGCATTTTCATTCATAATGGATTCAATTTGAAAAGGTCCAAGGAAAAGAGACCTTAGTTTCTTAGAAGGACGGTTAGTAGAAATATTTTTTGAAGATAACCAAACAGTATCACCAATTTTATATTTAGGAAGCGGTCTCCTTTTAATGTCATAATTCCGTTTATGTAAGATC